ACATGGCGCTTCTCCCTCCCGCCGCCTCCAAAATACTCTTTCTCCAATTGGATGAGATTAAACGCAAGGCATACTGAGCTGGTGGGCATAGATGAGTGAGCGACCGTGCCCCCGTGCCCCTGCCTCTTTCCCCATCCCTTCAAAGGTCGCCGCTTTAGGGGGTCGCCTATGTCGCCTAGCCCTAACGCCGGCCCTGAAACTCGTTCTAAGAGGGAAAAATTATTGGACCTCTCCACTGAATGGGTTGTAGGTTTCATAGTACGAGTTATTTCAAGTTTCTTATCAATTCCTTCCGCAGGAAACGCATTAGAAATTCGAAAGTTGACATGGTTCGCGTTCAGAAGGTATGACATTGCGATATGAGCGATTTCACTCGAGCTCACACCTTTGAAATTTGTTCCAATTGTCATTTAATAAAGTTCAATTGGTTCAAAATTAAAATGAGACGAGGACCTTTCGTGGCGTCTTATATCTATGACGATGAATACTTATGGCATCATGCAGTACGATTCGGAGATGCACGCTATAGCCATTGAGATTATTTTTTAATGACAGTCTTCATAACTACTTTACTGAACTTCTCACTTCTCATTGCAAAATATAGCGAAGAAGACGCATGACAAAAAAAACATGAAAAACTCCCAACCTATTACATTTTACGGTTGAAATAAATATATCCCTGAATCTTAGCCCCTCTAGTTTTCAACCTTCAAGGTAATGAGGAACTTATGTTTAGAAAGTTGTCATGAGTAGATGGCGCAATTATTAAAACTATCGTTAACTCTTGAGCAATCATACATTTTTTACCGCAGGGATCATTTTGTCCCTGCTGTTCATTTTCTCACCCGAAATATCGATCATGCATGAGTTGCAGCTATATCAGGTCAGCGTTTGTTAGCGCCGTCGACTATGGCACAGAGTGATGAGGAGTTGCTTCCGAGTCCTCTCTCGTGAATCTCGAAGAACCTTTCAGCTTAGAGGAAGACCTAGCATTGAACCGTCACGAACTCTTTCCTCTCTCTTCTCCTTGGATTATCTCTAGGCTGTACCTTCCGTGAATGACAATTGAGAATGATTGATAATATGGGAAAAGACAGCTGCCCACTTCGCTGGGGTAACGGAAAGAATTCGAGAATTATTTATATCTCAAAAGACGGATAGACATCTTCCTCCCTCTGCCCAGTCCAGATTGACTCAGATTAAAAATAAGGTGATACATCACCCTTCGGTTACATAGGCGTAGTACAAAGTCAGTAAAGCTGGGACGTTATTCGTATTGACAACTTCGTGGAAAACTCATATAATCGTTTCGAGTTCAGACAAAGAGTAAACTCAAGATGATGAGGGGCAAAAGAGAAGTCATGCCCCATGGTCAATTCAGAGAAATGACAATGCCATTCATGTTCCTCTTGCTCGCATCGCCCAGCAGTTTCCCTATCTTGCATGAATGCATTACTGACATAAATTCTCTTGAACCATCACGCGCCAAGTACGATTATGATCATGAAGTCCGGACGAAGTTCAACTTCCTTCTTTAGTAATTAATTAAAACATGAAATCCAAAACACATGCTCAATCCTGAATAGGAGAAAACTAGAGCAGCAAGTCGATTAAAAAAATGTAATCGATGAATCGAATTCTAATCGGCTTCTTGTTTCCCTTCTGAATGCGGACCTCGGAAGTTGATATGGGCTTTCATCTCATCACGAGTCTCGCTTCCTTTTGTATTATTTCAAAAGCACTCTCTTTGTTCTTGCGTGTTTCCCTACTTAAAAAAAAATGAGAATATATATATATTTATATTTTAGAAATGCCGAAATGATTGCCTCTTCATCGAAAAACGAATCATGGGGTTATTTCTTGTAATTTCCAGAATCTATACATATTTCAACAAGTTCATACGCACATTCAAGTAAATAGCAGACTGTTCATATACTTACCCAACCTTTATCCGGGCAACGGGGAGTCCATTGGACTCCCAGGGGTATAATATTTTATTGCATTACTCATTGGTAAATTTTTTTTTTATTTTTTAAAATGTAATGGGTCTTTCATAGACAATTATCTATAGATCCAAGAACGAATTTTAACAATTTTTATTTGCTTTTAATCCTTCCAGGCCCGCGCGGGGTAGTTTTGATATCCCTGTCGAAATTTTCTCTATCTAATATCTCAGTTAATCTTTTCCCTTCAAAAACATATCAATGAACGTTACATAAATATTGCAAGCTGAGAATTGAACGTTTCCGAATAGTTCAAATTTTAATGCCTGGAACCTTTCGCTTCCATAATCACAGAAATAAACTGGGGTAATTTAATTATCCCGCACGGGCTCTCGAAGGTGCTGAATAGTACAGGCCTGGGAGGGTTAAGGAAAAAATTAACATTTTTACCCTTATCCGTTTGTGCCACAAAAATACCTTGCCCGGATAAGGGTTTAACGCCAACAAGTACATCTGTACTTGGATTCCCGAACGCCTCTGCTACGTAATCCAGATCGAAGGAAACCTTGTGAAACATTTCCTACATCCATTGCATGAGAAGGGATTAGAGACGTGTACGAGGAGGGTGAAGGGGGAGAGAAGTAGATGGCAGACTAATGACATCTCCCAGGAGGAACTCATGGACGGTCATCAATCGCGAGAGGCAGAATTTTCGCGCCGAGGGAATCCCTAACCCTAATTTTGGACCTAGTCCCAAAAGGAAGAGGAAACGGAAAAGAGGAAAGCTGGAGCCTGGCCACAATACGGCCCTAGAACTGCAGTAGCTCCTCTGTGAAGATATCATGTCTGCCCATGAGTCTTCCCATAACCCTATGGGATATATCGACCATGGTCTTCCATAAAATTTGATTGCTCCTTTTCTTCCGTTCTCGTCCTCTTTTTACAAGTTACCAGATTTTTGCCTTCCTCCGAGGGTTATATTTTAAAACTGTTTCTCTTTTCTTCTCATGTTGTCCTGGGAGCAATAAAATAGAAAAGGCTCAAATCCTGGGTTTAATCAGTTAATTTCCCTGCACGGGTGAACTCACACAATGTCAGACTCAACTCAGCTTCGTAGGAAGAAATGACGATATGACACTCGATGGCTGCAACCAATGCGTTGTCGATGTTCTTCAATGAAATAGAGCCATGAGTAAGAGGAAATGGAGCTAGCCAGGGGAGTGTGTGCCCTCCATCGACGAAATTGCCCCCCATTCCATGTCGGGAAGTTGTCCAATAAGAGCTCTCCGAGAGACATATAGACTTGCAGAAAGGAGCAGAGGTATACGTAGAAGGACGAGAGAGTCATAAATCCGAGAAGGGAAAAAGAGAGGGAACAAATCCGAGTTCTCAAGGATAATCGAGTTAAGAGGTCATCTTCTGCCACCGAGATCTTCCCCTTCTCGCTCCTCTCCGTTCCTGGAACCAAGCCAGATCCCACGGTCACGGAACGTGTCCTTCTACAGTCCAATGCAAGAGAAAACTTTTTGCTCAAAACCTCGTAGGTGCTTTCAATGACGGCAAGAACTATCGATGTGGCTGAGGGAGCCATACACACTCTGCTCGGGTGTGTGTTTGTACAAGATCCTCTTCATTCGTTAGCTAATTCAATCTAGGCCGGATTCTCCTAGCCCTCCAGACATACATAAATATCCTCCTATTTATACTGGACCATCACGTTGTTAGAAACCACATCAGCCGCCCTATTCAAACGAGGGCGACGCCAGCAAAGAATCCATGATGGAGAGGGAGCAAGGGAGTGATCGATCAGAGTTTGCATCCTATCAATTGGTGCAAATGAGGGAGAAAATGTGAAAAGCAGACAAGAGGGATGAAAAATGCGTTGGGTCATCCACTGACATAATGACGAGGAAGAAGGAACCATTCATCAAGCGTCATCATCATCATCATTATCATTACGACTCATCATAATCAGAAGAACCATGTCAATCCCAGTTTTCCTGGCCAGCTACACAGCGCAGTGTGTGAAAAGAGGCTTTGCCGTGACTCCCTCCCATTCAGAAGGCGAACACAATTCCCTTGATCCTTCGGCATGCAACGTCTATTAAAAGGGGATTACCTTTGATTGATTCCTACGTCGAGTACATACAACAAACAAGAAATACTCCTCCCTATTCTGACCCATGATGACCTCTATCACGAGGCGGACGTCATCAAAAGCCCATTGTGGACACTCACAAAGAACCCTCTAAGATTCTTTCAGATCGAAGGCCTCCATCGTTCTTGTTCTTTTCAAATACAGGCGATGAAGTCACGGAGCAGGGAATTCTACATACACGGCAGACGAAGAAACATGAAATGGGGAAGACTTTCCCGCTTTGTCATTAGGGAGAGAGGGGAGATGGAAAGGGATACAGGAAGAGAGGGGGAAGAAAGGGGGAAAAAAAGAGAAAATGGAATGGAATGAATAGAGGGGAGGGTTTTCCTCTTTTCTTCCCCTCTCTCTTGCGATCATCCCATTGTGATGGATGGGACCTGGAAGGGACTTTGAAACATTTGTCTAAGGTATTCTTCGTATCTTCTCCTTCCAGGCTCTTCCCTCGCTGTAAGCTGGGATAAATGGTGGACCTATGACGGCATCTCAGGTGACATCCAATCTCCATTTTTGCATGACACGGTATTTCGGTCCTGTCGCGTGCATACCTTTGTCACATATCCAGGTCCTTCCTACTGGGGTCTGATAAACCCGGAATGGAGCCTATGCAACAAAGGGAAGCGCCAAAGCCCAATCGATGTGGATCCATCCAAACTTCTCTACGACCCTAATCTCAGATTCCTCCACATCGATAAAATAAGGGTATCGCAAACACCTCCTCATTGTCCACTTCTGCATTAGAGCGAATGTATTTTAGAGATACAGTCAGCTCTCGATAACTCGAAGTTACTTCGATTCCCTTCAAAAGCCCCATAAGGACGCAAATATCTATCGTTGATCGTGAGGCTTCCACGAGAATGCGCCAAACTCGCCTGACTGACTTCTCAAATGAATACGCTAAAATGAGTTTGTTTTGCCAGCTTCGTAGAATTGTGTTGCATGTACAATGTTGTAGAGGCATAGAATCCGAAAACCTCCATAACTCGAATTTTCGTCAACTCGAATTTTCCTTGAGCTTCGAGTTATCAAGAGTTGACTGTATCTGACTTGGCTCGCTTCATGCATGATTGACAGGTGAATGGAAATCTGACAAATACCGGACATAGTGTTATCTTTCGAGTTGATCCGCCAAAAAGTGTGGCGGAATTGGAACAGGAAAAACGAAAAAGGGAAAGAGAAGGAGGGATCGAGGGCGGTGGAAGTCCACCACCGCTACAAGAACCAGCTTTCCCGGTCAATATTTCCTCCGGACCTTTGGCATATACCTACCGATTTCACGAACTCCACATTCACTATGGAACTAGCGATGGTGTCGGATCTGAGCATACCATCAGCGGCTATGCCTTTCCTGCCGAGGTAATTTTTTATTATTATGTCGAAATCAGTTTCTATTATGATCTTGGATACTGAAATGTTTTCACTGACGATACATCTGTTTATAAAATATATTCTTCCAGATCCAAATATTTGGATTCAATGCCAACCTTTACCAGAACTTCTCAGAGGCTCTGACGAAATCTCAGGGGGTAGTAGGAATTGCCATCATGTTGCAGGTGAGCTCTTACACGCAATTCTAAGGACAAAAAGCAATTGATCGAATGTGGAGGGGGGAGGGGACTCTTTACTTCCTAGCAAGATAAGAGAAAAAGAAAAGGGTAAACATAACAATCGCTAAAGTGCTCAGATCTTCCTACCCCGGAAGTGGATATGCCTAACACCTCCCATCCCTTTCATCCCATCCCAACTGAAAACTCCACGGATGGCTTCTGCTGGAATGAATATTCAGCGCCGTCATGCATGTAGCGAAAAGGAATATTAAGCCAGCCACATTTGCGAGGAGAACTCGTCGTGTTTGTCACAAACATCCCCTCCACTCTCCTCCCTACTCTCCATCTCCTTTCATTCGAATTCTGCTCCTACACTAAGCACAGTATAAACTACTTAACTGATAAACGTCCTAGCTTAGAGAAATTTTTTTCTATTGAGTCGCATTGGAGAAATTACTGCAAGAAGTATCCATTCAGAAACCGTCAGCAATTTCATGCTGCATTTTTACAGGAAGGAGAACAAGTGGACCAGGAACTGAGAGTGCTAACCAACCAACTGAGCAACATACGATTCGGAGGTCAGCAGAATCTATTTCATATCGATAAGAATTCAGGAAAATACCCAATAGAAAGGGTTATGCTTTATCTCTTTGCAAAAATGACAGGAGAAGAGGCGAGAGTGGAGGGATTGAGCATCCGAGACTTGCTACCAAAGACGGATCATTATCTCACATATGAGGGCTCCACCACAATGCCTGCTTGTCACGAAACCGTCACTTGGATTGTTATGAACAAACCCGTCTACATCACCAAACAACAGGTCAGAGCGCCCCTCTCATCATGATTTATTGTTATGTCATTTTATGCCAATCCTTCTGAAAGAGGAAACTTTCACTATTCCAGCTATTATCATTGAGGAAACTGATGCAAGGAGAAAAAAGAGCACCCAAGGCACCACTAGGCAATAATTTCCGACCTTCCTTGCCTCTCCATAATCGACCGGTGAGAACCAACATCCAGTTCACCTATAACAACAAAAAGGTAGCCTCATCTTTATTCACTCATGAAATCTGGTACATATGACTGGATGGCATACCACATTATCATCTGTATTTGTCCACAGGTATTGGACAGTTGTCCAACAATGAAACCGGATCTGTATTACAAGGGTGAGTCTTAAAATTTGACCTTTTTTTAAATACAGGGTGATCGCAAAGTAATGCAAGTGGAAAATATATCAGTATATTGTTCATTAACTCTTCACAATAAATGCCTATTATTTCCCTAAAGTTTCAATTTTCAACTTTCAAATGGATGTGAAACAAAGATAAAAGTTTAAATAAAGCATTAATAAATGGGCAACCATACATAATATACATAATAATATTTTCCACTAACGTTACTTTACGATCACCCTGTATAATCATGCCCATACCATCTAAGGCTTTGATCAGAAACGTGCCCATTCACTAAGATTTTTTTTTCATTCTTCCTCAGCCAATCAATGGGGAGGGATGGTGGGGATCCCTTGACCATCCCACGCAGATAATGCTGGTCTATCAAAGGTGCAAGATACGTACCCCTATTTTTTTACTGCTTCTCATAAACGTGACACTCTATCGGAAAAGTCGTCCCAAGCCAGATATTCTGACTCGTTGGCGAACTTCATACAGCCATTACATCTATCGTCAAAATGCGTCCCTTCAAGAAGCAATGTTTCCTTTTCTCATTGTGTTTCGAGAGATGATGAAAAAAAAAACAATTTCCAACGAACTTCTCCGAGGATTGCTTGATAGAAAATGGGACAACGCTGCATCAGGAAGAACCAAAGAAGGGGGAAAAAGGACAAGGAAGGTGGCTAGTATTCATGGAGTGGACAAGGAGGCAATCTAGAAAAGGAAGGGGGTGGGGAATCCCAAGAGGAAGAGGACTTCTCCTACAGCAACGACTAGAACGAATTCCTTGTTTGCCAAATTGCCCATCCTGATTGGACATGTTCCCCAATTTCCCCATGGAAATCTCTTGCACTGACCAAGGCACGCTCCTTATCGTTCCCGACACAGATTATTTCATTATATCCGGTTACGAATAACCCTGTCTATGTAAGTGTACGAAGAAAAAAAGCAGAGAGAGGAAGAGAGAGAGAGGAGCAAGAGAATGGAGAGCAAACACTCCATTTATTTTGCCTCCTCTTGCTGATGGAATGACAGACAGGCTTTTCCCCTTCCCTTATTTGCTCGATAACAGCAACGAAGGCTTTTTTTTTCCTGCACTCCCCATTTGGACTAAGACAAATACTCTACCACATAATGCACTAGTATATTAGCAAGGAAATATATTTCCCCACAGGATAAGATCGCGTTGCATAACAGCCACATGACTCAAGTCCTCGTTGTTGCTGCTTCAGGATCTACTTTGAAAATAAAAAAGAGAACACGAGCAGAAGCAAAGCATAGAACTATAGAAAGGGAGTAAGATGCGAAGAGACTGACAAAATCCGTAACGCGGGATAGCAATCCATCTCAAACCCTTCACATCTCGTATCTTTATCAGCCCCGCCCTCTCATCTGACCACATATCCAGGGCCCTCTCATTTTTCTGGGCATTACTTACCCTCTCATACTTGCCCCAACCTCATCTCCCCCTCGACTATCGCATCAAGCCCTTGAAATATCAGCTGAACGACTTTGTGCGTCCGGCCCGAGTGATGAGACTACATGTTGGTCTCCTCGTAATGACTTTCTGTCGACCAGTGCAGATTAGTTCCTTGTAATAATTTTCCCTTCTGCTTCATATAGACTGGGAAAAAACATGGCTCTTCAATAATTCATTCACAACATTCGAGAGTTAGAATCCAAAGAGGAGCAACTCATTTGAGTACTCCCTCTTCAGTACTTCCACAGAGCCTGAACATTTACCGCAGGACAGATCTGACACATCCTGGTGCTTATGTAGTATAGAGAGCACTTCAAGCAAGAATTCATCGGAACAAAATATATCAGATTCTGTGGGATCTGCAAGCAAAAAACACTGAAGAAAGAATGCTCTGCCATTACTGGACTGGGTTACTATCAATGGCGGTCACATTGTTTAGAATCGAGGAGGTTACACATGCCCCTCATACCCTTCCGGTAAACGCTTAACCGCTTAATTCAAATCGCCGAGTGACGAATAACTAACGAAAGCTCAGCTCGCCGAATGTTTACCTTGTCAAAAGCCGATTTGCCGACTTGCAATTCACCGGTTGTTCAACCCGAATGCTTGGCTTTCCTTGAATTATATCCTACCAAGTAGAACTCACCATATATTCAACCAGCTGACTTGATGAAATATTGTAACCGATTTTTGCGGGTGACACGGGTGCCGAATTTCTTCACAAAACGGCTTGCTAGGGCTCTTAATCTAGTGAAGACTCAGGTGGGCTAATTCTAAATCCATTATATTTAGGTCAACAGGTATATTGTATTATCTGATTGGAAAGAAAGTTCTCGGAATTTCTTGAATATCCAGTACAATTTTTTTCCAGAGCATGCTAGAATGTTCTGCATGTGCTTATAAGTAGGTCGTGTCCTTCGGCATACAACCGTATATTATTACAGCCCTGGTGCTCTCCAGCCATGAACCAGCCCTACCCTCTTACTAAGGAGCAAGTTCGCCTGCTTCTTCTTTATGACTTCCGAATCGAGAAGAAGGCAGCCGATTCCATCGCTGACATCAATACCGCGTTTGGCCCGGACACTGTGTCCAAGAGCACTGCCTATGATCGGTACAGTCGCTTCCAGAAAGGAAATGAAAGCCTGGAAGACCAGCCACGCACCGGTCGTCCTTCGGAGTTTGATAACTCTGCCTTGCAGGAGGCNAGACGACCTGAAAACCGATTTGGCCAACTTTTTCGTAGCGCAGCCGCCAGAGTTCTATTGGAATGGCATCCATAGTTTGCATAAACGTTGGCGTGAAGTGATAGAGGCCAATGGTGATTACATTCATGATTGAGATGATTTTGCTTTTAAATAAACTGGGTTGTAATAATTGTTCATGAAATTCCGAGAACTTTCCTTCCAATCAGATATTTTTGCCTCTCTCTGAGGTCAATGATGAAGTTCGGCGAGTAAAGCATTCGAGTTGAACAGTCGGCGAATCTGCTTTCGACGAAATGAACAGTCAGCGAATTGTATTCGGCGAATCGGCGAGATGATAGGGAACCACTCTCCTCCCCCCCCCCCCTTCCCCCCCGACGTTACGCCGCTGCCTGAAAAAGACTACTAAAGGCTATTCATTACACAACATGACTCAGAACCGAGACATACTTTGTACATACTTTTCCTTGTACTGGCACTCGCAGTCCTGGCATGATGGCATGATGACCACTCGCAATTCCTTTTGCATCAACGCAAAGATTCAACGTTAAAGTTCAAAGATATTCTTATGGTTCTTAGAATTACAGCAACCATATTGAGTGGGACAGCACTGCGCCTTTAACGATGGACCGTTTCCACATCCACCTTGCTCTGGTTCTTGTCGAAGGAATGGCGTCCAGACATACTCAAGACATGGTTCTCATCGTTCATTATAACACCAGCTTGAAATATGCCTTCTTCATACCACTCTGCTACCTTTGCGCTTCCAATGGTATCTGAAGACACGTTCCCCAGAGGACTAGCTTCTTTCCGCGTCTGCTAGCTCTTCAATATTTCTCTGTATCCGTCTCCCACAGTGGGAGACAGAAACTGAAATTTAGCCTTGCCTAACTCGTACACGGGATCAGACAGACACCGTGACACGTTTGTCTTTTCTGCTAACCATCAAGCATGAAAAATTTTCTCTGTGCACTTTCACTCCTACCGCAATGAGGCAAACATTAAATAACATTTTGTAATATCCCTCAGTCAATAGGCGAGGGGCGAGATTCCGCCGGGGCTAAAGTGGAAGCAACCTAGCAGATGATATAGAGATGGAAGAGGCAGATAGTGTTGATGGGAGATGAATTGATAGGGCAGAGCAGGGCAGGGATTTCATCAGTCTGGGGGGGGGGGGAGTCGTGCTCAATATTTCATGTGTCGATCAGGTGCACACTGATTCCCGATTCATTGCATGGCCTCAATAGACCTAATCGAGTCATGCATCCATTGATTTCTCTCTCTCATCATCGACTCTTGCTCCTCCCCTACCCCCATCTCTTACTTCGTCCTCTCGCTCCCTCCTCGAGAAAAAAAAAAGAAAAAAAATCCTGCCTCTCCTAGCAAATGATTATGATGGAGGGTAGGAAACCTTGAAGGAGGGGGAGGAAATGGAAAATCATGGCGGGGGGTACCGTCCCAGGATGTCCTCGATCAACCAAAACGGACAGTTTTGCTTTTCTTTTCCTTGTCTTTTCCCCCCCACATAGTGCATGTTGGACATTCATTAAAAGCAAAACAATTGTTGCATCATCGTCCCAATGCTCATCACTACTCCATTCCTGCTGCATCACTTAACATTTGCTTGTCTGGAACATATCTGTCAAAACAGAGCATGAGCTCAATCAACTTCCGGGACTCGCTGACTGCTCCCTCATATACATCCCTCTTCACGCTTGAGAAGAGATCTGACAAATTCCATGTCGATGGTCATGAAGAAATGAGGGAAGTGCGATTGCAAGTGAGAATAAGTTGATTTTGGCTGAGATCCAGGTCATGAAAAGTAAACGTGTGCTTACAGGATTAGAAGCAATTCTCTCAGATCCAAATGACCAGCTATGAAAAAATTACACCCTCCTCAATGCCTCTTTTCTCCCTCTCCATCTCATTTTTCTCATTTTTTTCTTTCTTATATGACATGAGGGGAGTGAAGTGATTGCTTTGGGATCTAGGTCCCAGCCTCTCTTGACCGAGGCCTATCATCGCGCCAATCCGATATTGAATCACACCCTCCCCTCCCCTCCCATTATTCCATTGCCCCACTCAAGCTATGCGATCCTCGCTCAGTTTCAACCCTCGAATGACTCATTCTTATGGTTTTTGCGTGCTATTTCGCTTCATTCTCTCTTGTCATAGGGGAGGATTTTCAACAAAAGAAATGCAGAGAAGAGAAGCGCAAAGAAAGAAAGAAAGCGAGGAAGAGTAGGGATTTCACTTGCACCTGTTCCATATCCTAGGAATGAAATATTTAAACGGATCATGGGGGCTGCACGCGAGATGTGGGCGGATATCTTTATCCCAGGCTACGGCTTCACCTGCAATTGCAATCCTTTCCGATAAGGCACTTTAACTGTTCCTTTCCTGTAGCAGGATATTTCTTTCTGGTATTTCCCACCTGCACTTTTAGCACTTCATCAGCACGAAATCACATATGACCGGTTGGGAAAGAATTACAATAATAATGATGATAATCATCATCCTGAGGAAAGTCCGAGGACTGTGGTAATTTACCATGAATGGAATTAAACGTATGAATCGATAGAATTGATGGTGCTTGGCAGATATCTCACACCGTGGGAAAAACTCAGTCTGAAGCCCTCTGGACCATCAAACCTTGGGGGGGGGGGGGGGGGGGGGGGAAAAAAAAAAGAGAGAGGGATGGGGGGGGGGGGGGGGGGGGGGGGGGGGGTGACAATAAGAAAAGCATGGGTGAATGATGTAGCGGCATGGGTTACAAGTCGAAGCCGTGTACTTCCTGTCGACTGAAACGATGAGAGAACTGTACACTAACTCGAATCTTGAAATTCATGTTCCAGTCGCAGTCCCTCGATGTTCTACATGGTGTTTCAGTCAATTAGTCTGCATTTCAAGATAATATACCTTTTAATGTGTACAAGCTGCAGCGGCGACTCACACGCCACTAAATAGAGCAGACATCAAAGTATTTTTTCCATGTGCAGATCAACGCAAGATATGCTCGATGTGACAACCACACACATTGTTGACAGTGCAAAGTGCGTAGGCATGTTGTTCATCACTCTACTCAGCAGCTCACCGTCAATTTCACGGACGCAGTCCGTTATTGCTTGTTTCAGTTCATAGACTGACCGGATGGCTCCCTTGAACACTTTTTCCTTCAGGTGTCCTCAAAGGAAAAAGTCACACGGGTTGATGTCGGGTCTGGTTGGGGGCCATGACAAACCAATGTTGAGCATGCGTGGATACAGGTTCGAGATGACGCGCTCATGAAATTTTTCGTGAAGGAAAGACAGAACATCCTGCGTTGTTTGCGGACGAGCACCATCCTGCTGGAACCACTGTCTGCTTCGGCGTAGCCGTCGTCTGCTTCAGCTCGGGCAGGAAATTTTTTTTGCCGCATGTTCAGGTTACATAACCGTCGAAGAAGTACGGTCCGATTATCCCTTGCTTTGACAATGCACGCCACACCAAGACTTTCTCGAGATGCAGGGATGACTCGAGGATTTCGTAAGGATTTTCCCTGGCCCAAAATCTCAAGTTTTGCCTGTTGACATCGCCTGTGAGATGAAAGTACGCCTCATTGCAAATCCACAACACACCGAGGACAGATGGATTTTTCTCAAGCATTTGTCCGAATTCAATACAGAATTCCCTTCTGCTCCTTCGATTGAAGAGTCAGTTGTTGTTGCACGTGGATATTGTGAGGAAACAATTGAAGTTCTTTTCTCACCACACGCCAAACAGTTGTCAACGGCACATCAGGTTCCATTGACATCCGCTGCAAGGATTTTTTCGTCAGGCTATTCATTACTCAACGGCGAATGTCCTCAACAACTGCTGCAGTTCGTTTGCGTTGCTGACTACCCAGCATAGGCTTACTGGTAACACCTCCAGTTTCACGTGATTGTTGAATTGACTAATTGCCCTTTTGCCTGTTGCATAAGAACACAACTTCCTCGCGAAAACATCTTTGCATGGTGATTGGAGATTTGTACTCTAAAAACCACTCCACAACTTTCACTTTCTGCTAAAGTGTTAATGAGTTGTTCGCCATGTTGATAAGGAATGACGTCAAGTTAGGGTTGTCAACTGCAGGGAGAGAAAACTTTGAAGTCTGCTCTATTTAATGGTAAGAGAGTCGTCGTGATAGTTTTTATACTTTAAGAGTTATATCATTTTAAAATGGTGACTGACTGAAACACCCTGTCCACATCATTAATACCTTAGTATATGTTCGCATTCAGAACGAAAGATGTTGAGGAGCATGAACAACGTCCTATAAATAAGAATCACAAGCTGCACATCACTTTTTCAGAGTACCCTCCCTCAGAACCTTCGCCTGAGGCAACGGACGACCAAACAGGAGTGGATTGGAAACACGCCTGTAGTTCCATTGCCATTTCATCGAAGAGAGCCGTTTGGTCGATAAGACACTGAAGAAGTATAGTCTCAAAACGAGTATCCGAAGCTCCCGTTAACGATAATGGAACGAACTGTGACTGTAATCAAGGTGTAAACTCAACCGTAACTTGACTGTCTGAACACAGACGCAAACAGCAGTGCAAACAACATTCAAGATTGATTTTACGTTTTCTCCATGAATGACGGAACATACTTAACAAAAGGCATCAATGAGAGGTTCAATGAGGCTCTCAAATGAACACGAAACGGGTCTTCCGTAAGATTGTGCTAAGTGCATACAAGATAGCTACGGTCTGGACAAAATTCCAAGGTCGCCCCTATCAGTATGCTGATCACGTGTCACATCATATGACACAGATTATCCAATGTATTTCACATCTTGACTTCGCTCATACGAGCGCCAAGCAGGATGAGCCAATAACAAAGGAATTTGATCCAAAATGGCTATTGCAGAGTTGTCAAGATCCAGATCGTTGAGTCATGGACTGGAAAATATCCTGTGAATTAGTCCCCAAGTTATTTTTCGTTCAGCAATGCCAGTTGGCAAGAAGGTCCTTCTCTTTCTTCAATTTTCTTCTTGTGCTTTCCTCATGCGGATTCTTCAGACAAGAATTTGAATGATATACCATAATGGACTAGTTACTTGTTTGCACTGGTGTAATCCCCAACGACTTAGAAGGACGACTGCAATATAAGGTACCAGGAATAACAAATGAGACAACTATATCATCCTATCCACCTACAAGTAACAAATGAGACTTGGAAAATAAAGGGACTGCTGCAAAATTTCCTTTATTTCCATTTGGATTTTGAGGATAGTTTCAGGGAAGCAATAGACCGTCTGAGCTTCTTTCGCTCTTCTTTATGTTGCAAGGCTGCTTCTCTTGCCTTGGACTTCTGCAATAGGAAATAAAATTTGCAGTTTGATCAACAGAACTGAAGCTTCCTAAAATAATTAACATAAAGTTTGATCCAGTTGGATCCAATATCCAGCATCAAGTTGAATTCCAGAAAAAATTAGTACCAAACTAAACTATGTCAAAGGCATGTTATAAAAAACACACTATGAGCTCACCTTTGATGTAAGCATAAATTTCATCTCCTTATTCCCATAATCAACATGCTTCACACTGATGGATGAATCTTCCTTCAGCCTTTCTCCTAGTGTTGAGCTGAAAGAGAATAAAAATTCCCTTAACATTTAACTTCATTATGGCTTCCTTAAGCTGAAAGAGAGACAGCAGATATAGGCACACCTATCTATTTGCTTCAGCTTGTGCTTCACACCCTTAAACTCTTCTCCTTCTTTTAATTCAAAGAAACGAGGTTGAAATTTTGCTTTCTGATCCTCTTGTCTCCTTTCCTCTCTGTCTCTCTTCTTCAGCAGTCGATACTGTTTCTTCACTTCCTTGGTCCATTCCCTATCATCATCAGAACTGCTCTCAACTTCATCATTGCTTTCTTTGCCTTCTCCCTCCTATGAATGAAGTTCTCAATGTTGAGTTCCTCTACTGAGAAGAAGAAACAAGGACCAAGTCTGAATATTGTTACCTCAACTTCATCAAACTGATCTGTCAAAACTTCTCTCTTCTTTTGTTGCTTTTTCTTAGTCTTGTCTAGTTTTTTCACGAGAGGCTGAATCAACCTGTTGAGAAAAGATATAGGTGGTAATGGGACATGGCATCAAAGCTTTCTTGTTGTAAATTCACAATAAGACCTCATACTATATATGACAAAAGCTAATGCCATCCAAACAACATACTTGTACTCTTGGGCCTCAGTGTCAATCTGGAAATCAGGATTCTGAAACATTGCTTTGAAACGAGAATCATGTAGGAGACTGGCATCTGGCTGCTTCTTCTTTTTCATTGACTTCACATCCTCTTCATCATCTTCTACTTCATCCATCAACTTCACTGCAAGACTCTGGTTGACTTTGGGAAGGCGGCGAGATGAAACTCGATTCTCTCGTGCTTGCTCCAACTTCTCTTTTATCTTTTTCTTTCGGTATTCATCAAATGAAAATGGCTGTACGACAGAGCGAGCCTTGTTCCATAGTCGTACATCCATGAAAAATCCATGCAAGTAAGCACGAAGGAGGTTTGTCCCAATTAGATGTGAGAGTCCAAGGGTTTCCAATTCTTGCTTGGTAACAAACTTGTAGTCATCATAGACAGTCATCACACTGTCCTCTTCTAGTTCTTCTGTCAGATGATCCAGAAAACTGCACCATCTTGGTGCAGGACCAAGAGAAGGTATATAATAGGTCAAGAGTTTCTGTCCTTCATGAGCCATGAAGAGGAGACCAGATTGAGGTATCATGCAGAGATCATTCAACTCTGTTTCAGATTCAATGGTTGTGTAGGGTTTCCCCTAGAGAGAGAGAGAGGCACAAAACATGTAAAATCCCACTCAAAACTGTATGCTTCTAAAGTGACTCCTGCCATAAATGTATGATACTGATTGAAAGATGAAAACTCAGTTATTGGCTAATGGCTCTTGATGTTACCTGCATTTTGAAAAATATTTTATATATAAAAACCTTTTTTAGGCAAACATCTCTATACTTCATTCTTCACTCTATACTCCTTCACTCTACACTCCTACATCTTCACCAATTTCGTATGCAAGGGAATGAAGCACCAGAACATGAAAATGTGACAACTACATGGGACCATATTTCTATGTTATGATATGGTTTTCCCATTCCATTCCCTTGCCTTGAGAATTGGCAAATGTGTTTTTCTGCCTATAATGATATCCCAATCAATATCACTCAATTTCAAGCAGAGAGGTATTATCTTAAAATTCATTCTTCATTGGAATATAGTCAAAATTATCCAAGCTTCAATTTATTAACTGAAGTTTTTTCATGGAGAGATTTTTCTTTCAGAACTCAAAATGGGATATTTTTTACTTCCTCTGTGCCATGCCATTTGAGCAAAACTGATGCTAGCAGTTTTTGCATAGTTATAGAGAATTTTCCTTTGCAGCATTGATAAGATGTCTTTTTTACATAAGTAACACTGGAAAGCACTTACAGCCATTTTAGTTTTCAGAAGAGATAAATGCAGATGGTCATGAAAGACAGTGACTACCTATACCTTATTCCTGAAAGAATTGTAACTTTAGGTAATATCAAATCTGAGATTTGAGATCTAAACTGCTGTCAAAATTTTATTATAAAAGTAACATCCCAAGGATGTCCCCTGAGACACTGCCACTGAAGAAAGTGAAAAAAATTGAGGTCCTAATTTTAATTCATTGTTACATTCTCATTAATGATGTCCGATTAGCATGTCTGAGTATTACTATCCTGGTTGGAAATTTGGGGCTATGCTTCGGTTTAAAAGAAGTAAGACCTACTTATCTTGACTAAAAAACTGTTCAACTTCTCGTAAAAAAGAGCTAAATTTTACTCCATGGAGATGTGTCCTTTTATTGGAGTCTTTCAAGCAAAGGATTTCCTTCCCCCTTAACCATTCTAGCCAGTCAAGAATTTAAGACTAGGTAGTCCTAGAATATCAAGTAGAGATATCTTAGAGAGTAAAGGGTTGTCCTATTTGTCCTATATGGCAGAAAATGAGCTTGTTTCAGAAAGAAAGGCAACCAGATATTTTTTTTACCACTGAGATGTCTGTGCAAGTAGCATCTGGAACATCTCACTTGTCCCAAAGGGATATCTCTGGGATATCTTTAGGATGTACTTGTTGTGCAGGATGGTGTAAATTGCCTCGTATTGTTTCACGCATGAAAGAAATTCCTGCTACATGAGTGTCTCCTTAAAAGTACACAGAAACTGAAGTTAACATACTTAAATATCTGGAGGGTATACAGTCTAATTTGTTGTCGATTGGAGTCTGATGTTATGTTTGGAACTACCTGGTGCCAGTATTTGCATAATGAAGTAGTGAAGATCCATTACAGCATCTATGTACATCCTTTGCAAATTGATTCTAAAATGACTTTGTTAAACACTTACTGAATCAGGATGCCATAATTTGAGAGCTCTGGCATCTAAGGATAAGACAACACCAGATGAGTGGAAATCCACAGCCTTGATTGGGAGACCATACATGTGATCCTTGACCAACAGTGGACGAGAAGAGCGAATATCATATAAAAGTATTTGGCCAGTAGCTGTTCCAACTCCCATCATCATGGCATCACGGAAATGAATTGATGAAACAGAAGGCAAGCCAACAACTCTGCATTGGATGAAAAGATCTGGTTATGGCATTCACATTTTATTATGGTCAACACAAGAGATTCAATGTCATACTCTGTGTCCTGTGTGAGTGAATGAAAAGCAGAGTCAAGAGTGGCAACTCGCTGGCGTGACCGTGGATCCCAGCCTTCAATTCTCCCATCCGCTGTTCCAACCACAAGAAGTCTATGAAATGGGTTCAAATCACAGGCATTCAAAGTGGTCCCCTCTGTAATAAAGGGATTCAGGAATCTTCCTTGCTCCAAGTTCAACCTGTAGATTTCAGGACTGCAAAAAAAAATCAATGAAATGGTCCACATGATATTACATACTAACAACAATTTCAAAAGAGAAAAAAAAAAGACTATTACCCTGTACCAACAAGATACAAATCACATGATACCCTGTCATACTTCATGTCCCGGCCAAACTTGGGAATCCTCAGCCTGTAATAATGTCCATACTGAGCATGGACCTCTACATATCTATCTTCCTGCAGAAAGACCATCTGTGACAAAAACATCACAGCATGAAATACAATTCTCAAGCAACAGGGAATTTATTGCTTATTTAAATCCCTGCAGTCCTGTTTGAAATCTCACCTTCCTGTAATCCTCAGAGAGGACTTCAAACTTGATTACTTCTGAATCCATGCATCTCTCAAATTTCATGGATAAGTTTGCAACTTCATAGCATCTGACTCTGGGCTTGTAAACTCCAGTTGCCAAAATGTACTGGCCATCAGCAGATAGACGTACACATGAACTCACATCGGGCATGCAAAAATCTTGTATCAACTCGATACGTCTTCTGATGTCTGGAAACAACAATGAAAGCATGCCCTTTACAGAAAAACTAAGGATTCAAATACCTCAGTTCTCATTCTACTGCCACTAACCAATGTCTTTCTTTTCAAGCTTCTTTCTCTTCTTTGCTGACAGCCACTGGAAGAAAACATCAAACACGGAGCCATCAGGCTAAACTCTTCTGTGAATCTTAAAATATCATAGAAGTGCAGGGTCCATCAACAAAACTCACCTCTGGCAATGATTTGCCAGCACTGAGATTATATATCTTCACATCATTTAGGTTAGAAACCTGCATCTTCAATGATCACAGTCGTCTTGATCTCAAAACTTTTACCAGTAATCAGTTACTGAGCAGTGTCATCTAAATAAAATAAAAAACAATCTATATGCAATTAATTCAGAACTGAAACTAAGAAATGCAATTGGAAAAGTTTACCAAAGAGTCTGCCATGTACCATAAAAAGGGATTAAGATACTACTGTATTAGTGCTGTATGATCCTATTTGGGTCTTACATGTGCGACTGCTAGAAATCGGTTGACTCAAATGCAATCTGCAAGTCCCAAAAAGAGAGGTTCTGGAAGCTCATAGTACATCATGGTGCCAGAGCCCAGCAATGAGCATCTTGTTGGAAATTTCTTACTGAAGGAAATACTGGTGTTCTCTTGAGAAAACAGCTGAATCAAATACCATTTATTCAAAATGTGAAGTAAATGTATTTTGTTGCCTGGGAGCTGTAACATCTGCACTCAAATTTTGCCAGCATAAATGGCACAGCTACATTCTTCATGACACCTTAAGTTTTCCCGCAGAAGTATCTTCAGCCTGCCTCTCTTCCTTACCCACATAGTACAGGAAAGAATAAGTGTTCCATGCCATAATGTACTTCTACTTTGTGCTGTTTCCAGAATTATTTTGAATATCTGTATTTTCCTTTTAAGACATGTGAGTCGAAAGATAATTTGCCTCCTGCAAGTTGTTTCTACAATGGTCATACCTTAATTCACCTGCAGTGAATTCACATACATGCTATGGCACTTCAGTTCACCAAAGGTGTCTCATGCTGAATGCCATTCACAGAAAAACTTCAAAGTTCTACCCAAAATTAAGAATTTTGAGATTGTATACTTCCAGGTGATGATTTAGATGTAATCTTCTAGATCAACGACAGCAACAAAAAAAGACAAGAAACTATCATTTGATGAAACAAATAAAAGGACCCTTCAGAGAATTCACCAGGACAACACTGCAACATCTAAATCATTGCAGGATATCACATGGTTCAGCATTATCACATGAAAATGTTCCTCCAACCTTTTCTTGCACAGCAGATACTAAGCAAATAGAAGAGCAGTGTCTGTAATCCTCAACAAAGACAGAACCATTCATGCCTTACTTGTCTCATACCATGAACAAGTGTAGCACTTGCTTCATAACTAGAACTTGGTACAAATGCCAATGTTCCAAACAGCATGGTTTGCACACAAAACTCAATATCTATCATCTGCTGGGTATTGCATACATACCAACATGACCTTCAATTAAATAATGACAGGCCCTGCCTTTCCCATTTAACCAAATGCTATGGAGGAGTGGCAACATAAAGAGCACCAATAAGGCACTAGATAGCATCAATTGGTTCAAGATAAGACAAATACATTCTTGGGTAACATTCAACTTCCATACTATGAGATTTCATTTATAAAATGTGGCAGCTAAGCATAGCAAATGGACTTTTAACAACTCACAACCTTCCTTTTCCATTCACCATGGGCTTGAAAGCAAAATCACAGACAAGTGACAAATGATCAGAAGGGTAATGTAAGCCTGGTAACCGGTTTTCTCCAACTGCATCTTCTGTTGCAACATCCAAATATCTCAGAACATCCATATGATCTTTGGTGTAGAACACATAATCCAATGTTGTCTTGCTCTCTGCATCAGCACGGACTTTCCAAGTGGTATATCTTGGCTCTTCAGCGGTGTTTGCAGCATATGCACTTGCAAGACCCAGTCGATCAGATAGCATGGTGTTGTGGACTGGCTCTCTTGGATCAGCATTGAAATCACCCGCGATGATGACAGGACGACCGTTAGCTTTGTTCTTGATGAATTGCAGAATGTCAAGACCCTCTTCATTCCTCAAACTTGCAAGCAATGCACCCTGCTTTGCTTTCAAGTGAGTAGTTGCAATACAAAGTTCTTTGCCAGATTCCCTGTGCTTGAGTATCTTTAGAATTATTACCTGGAAAGAATCAAGAAATTTGTTCCTCTTCATTTTTGACAACAATGAACCAGACCAAATTGTACCAAGGATATTGATAAAAATGACAAACTGAGAAAGGAAGCTTCTATTCACCTGGTTTGTCTGAACTTTCCAGACCTCTATGATCCTGGATGATCCTTCAATGAGACTGAATTTATCTTCCCTGAAGAAAATGGCACAACCATCAGGACCATTGTTTCCCTCAATATAAATACAGGGTGAATCAGGCTTTGGAAAGAAGGATCCCTTATAGCCAAGGTAGCTCAAGCTCTTCTCAAGGAATTTGTAGTGATCCACTTCCTATAACAAGAACACATTTTACATTCTGGTTATCCATAACTGAGAAGTTGTGCATTCACAACAGTGCCATGACTGAACAAATGAGGACACTCATGTGCTGCTGATACCTGAAGGCAGAGAATATCTGGAGATCTCTGAAGAATTTCTTCAAGTATTCTGAATCCTCGGAACGGCCACTCCAGTGCTTCACGAGGACATAAGATGAAATTGTCCCGATGGGTGCCAAGGGCTGCAACAAAAAGATATTCTTTCAATATTAAAACCTATGCAGAAACTGGGAAAGATACATCTGACTATTTATTTATTTAAAATAATTAATTCCAACCAAATAAGAATGCTCTGTACTTGAGAGCAGGAAGTCCTAGGAGAAAAACAGAGTTGCTTTCGGTTTCAAACAAATATGTATTTATGTATTGGAATGGAGATGAAGGAGGAGAGCGGGATTAGACGTGAGGGCACTACCTTGTGCGAGAATATTCCACTGCATGACCCGGAATGGATGAGGCTGAGAGGCATCCCCTGAGGTGACTGGCATCATGACCCGCTTCAACAGGGGCGGTCCGAATCGTGTAGCTTTTCTGCTAATCTCTAGCAACCCCTCTTTGGTCAGTTCCGCCGGCCAGGAGCCCAGCAATTCATCGTCTTCCTCGTCTTCATTAGGGATCTTCTTGGTAGACGTAAAGCTCCCCATTCTACAAGGGAAACGAAAACTCCAGTTGAAGATTGAATTCTCAAATCCTTGACTTGCTCAATGGTCAGTAGGTTTCACGGAGAACCTTCTATGAAGGTATTAGGCACGAGCCATAATACAAGATTGAACGCAGCAGTTGCAGGATAAAACGAAGAAACTTTGAGGGGATGACTAATGCATTAGGCTCATTGAAAACAATGACGGGTTGAAAAGTTCGATGATACCTGACAATATAGAGGAGGAGTTGTTTGGGGGGGACATGATACCGCGAAGGGGCCCTTGCGCTATCCTCCCCTCCTTGGGGGGGCAGGTGAGGACTGCATGGTCGACTACCGAAGCGGCATGGGCTGCTATGCAACGACTGACACCGAGAACCGGGCAGGGACCTTTCCATCCGACGACCAAGACGTTCCTTTGACATAAAATCCGATAACACTAACGCTCTCTGAATGTCGCCCATCGCGAACGGCTCTTCTTCACATTCACTTTTCTCTTTGCACATCGCAATTGTCTCTTTTCTATGTACACAATCATTGCTCCAATCAGGGAGATAATCCCCAGGGGAAGACAAGTGTTCCGCCATTGTGACTCGATTTTCACTCGCACATCGTCGATAGAAAACTGGGGTCTCGAAGAAGGAAAAAACGCTTTATAGGGGGAGGAGTCTTTTACAGGATTGGTGGTCGCTGTGGGTTCGGGGAAAGAAAGGGAAGGGAATGAGTCAAGGCAATTAGGACGGAAGGTCAAGTGAATGACTGGGATTAGCAGCTGCACCAGCCAGGTTGGCGTTGTGCAAGGTTCACTTCACTTCCTTCTTCCCAATGCCACGGCTCTTTGATCCGATCCTTGAGTGTTATGCAATGCGACGCCGGCATCTTTCAATGAGTAGGAATGGGATTGAAGGGAAGGAGGAAGAAGGAAGGGGGGGGGGGAAAGCCTCAGGCATTGCATCAGAGATGAAGGAATCGGGTCATGGCAAATGCCCATCACCTCTTCACGCCTCAACAATCACATTCCCAAAAAAAGAAAATCACTCTCCATTATAAATTACAATTACAACCGCGGAAATTGCAAATGACCTTGGCGGGTTTTTCTAGCATATGACGTCACATGGGGCAGGAGGTGTTCTTTCCGAGGTATTCCAAGGGGGGGAATCCCGTTATGAGACGGAAAGACCTTGAACTTCTGACGAATGAAGGTAAGGACATTCTTTTTTTTTCTTCCCAGCCTTTGTTCCTGAGCACTTCCACCTTCTACTTCCGCACATGCATGCCTTCAACGCACATTCCCACGTCACAGACAAAACCAAGGACTCTCTTCTCAGTAGAACTCTCTTAATTGAGGTTCTTCCCACTGGCCCAGAATATTCCGATCTAGAAATTTCTGTGCCTTTTAGGAGTTACGGAAAATTTGCATTTTCAACGTTAACTCTAACAGGTATTTCCACACGGTGTCCACGTGACAGACTTCAGAGTCGAAGAACCCAAAAGTCCAAGGTATCTTACTTCCATTCTTTCAGTAAAGGAAGTCTTTGACCGAAAGGTATTACACAATGATGTTATCCATGCGTGGAGGCCAGCCTGGAGAAAGACTTAAGCCCAAACGCTGAAAGTTCTTTTAGTTAATAGTCCTCTAAGAATACATGGACTCCTTGGGGGGGGGGGGGGGGAAAGAGCTCTTTTTTAGTTTTAAGATTCATTTCTCTTCCATAAATGAGGTTTGTGCAGTTGGGCCTAAATCTTACTCTAAATATGACACATCACAATAAAAATCTCCTCTTCCCTCCGAAATGGGGCAGACTTTGGGAAAAATTTAGTAACGAGGAAATGAGCCTCTCAAAATGAAGGCTTCGCGATTACGTTAATAGACTGAATAAACAAACCCATGGTCAAGAACGCTTTGAATCTAGAGAGAACTCACTTCATCTTACGAAGCCAGCCGAAGGGCCGAAAGATGGGAGAAACGTTCGAGTCCACCATAGCAAAACTACACCGGCCCACTGAGCTAATTAATATCTTCTATCGGAAAGACACAGCTGGCTTCAATGTAAGACACATCCCTTGAATCCCCTCACCTGAAATATCACTAAAGCCACACGAACATGTGCATAAAAAAACGATGTCCCTCAGTTTCCCATGGAAAAATAAATAATCGTGGAATTCAGTCACAGCTAATAGATTATGAATCGCCGATAAATAACAGAGCAGAACTGTCAACCACAATACAGGCAAGGTCGATCATAACGATTGCTTTCAAGTTTTCATGTCCATCTAATAAACGGCTGGCAAGAAGGGAACATTCAATGACACACGATATTCAGTTTGTATAGTTGAACTCAAAGAAATCCAACAGCGCAAATTCTCTTCTGTACCTCTCTGTTTTCTACACAGTAGGTCAATTGTCTTCTCGTATATAGCAGTGAGCAAAGAGGAAATATACTCAGTCATCAGCCTTCATTGAACATGGGTGCACTTTTAATTCAAGCTAGAAACGCCTCAAATCATTTGATAAACCCTAATATCGTACTCGGCCATTTTAACCTGTAGAGAATAAAAAAAAAACGAACAAATGTGCAAATGGTTGTAGTAGTCGCCTGTGATGCAACTTGCTCGTCCCATTTGAAAGTGATCGTGTATAGGGTTGTCAGCAAAAAGGTCCACCAATTAATAGGGTTCATTTCCCAACAACATCATGGTAAGAAGGCAGATAAGCAGAAGCAAGACAGAAAAAGACAGTAGTCACACGAGTTCTTTGCGATATTGATGAATAGCGCCTACCTCAGGAGTGTTCCGAAATAAAAATCTAGGATTGAAACCGTTGCTCAATTCGGAGGTTCGCACATTTCATCCACAGTTCAGGAACTCGAGTCTTTTCTTCGTCCCAAAGTCTACTCGATGAAGGTAATAGATCAAGCCTTTAACTTCACTGTCGATGATGATCGACGTGGCATTACGAAAGGGAAACGCAAACGAGGCAAGTGTGAAAAGCCCCTTCTTGGCCTAGAGACCGGCTTCCCAGCCAAGTCCTAGAGTGGCTAGCTTAAGGGAGTGCGTATGGTGCTTAGCGAAATGAGATAAATCCCTAAATAACGCTCCAGGAAAAGTAATTAAAAAACATACCCCCCTCCCCAATCACTTCACTGGCACTTTCTTGCCTTCTAAATCTAAAACCGAAGCTCAGTTGGCATGAAGATTGACATCCAAGGAAGCAAAAAAAAAAACTCAGATTGTAGCTTCTTATTCTCGCATGTTTGGCATAAAGGAATAACTATGCCGAAACATACGACACTATGATGCAGAGGAATGTCTAGTCAACAAATTCTCTGATTGGAGGGGAAAGAAAAAGAGGGAGTAAATATAGTCCACCTGTTTACCCAAGGGAATGGCAGGCATATTCCAGCCACAGGCAGCCGAGGTTATCGCAGGATAACATTCACTCATATTCACATCTCCAATGAGTAATTAGCCTTTATAAAAGCGCTCCTTAGAGTTAGTGGGACAAGTCTACTTAAAAAATGAAGAAAATTGTCGGGAAGAATCAGAGGCACCCATTGGCACTTGGATTAGGGATATCTTGGCGCAATGTCTTTAGAATAAAAAAAAAACGACAAATAGTACATTGACTAGCAATAAGAAAAACAGCGTTAAATTTTTATTTTATTTCGGAAGAGGATTGTACTGTGAACTGGATAAAAATATAAACAACGAACATCATCGCAGATCCCGAGGAAATTTGCTCCGAACATCACAGCATAATAATCCAAGGACTAGCCATTGTAGCACAAGAATGTGGAGATTCAAGGAGGATGATTTGTTCAAGGATTATAATAGGTGCAGGTACAGCAGGTTACATACGAAACTGCAGGAAATGCCATAGTTCATCTAAACCTCGGCAGAGGATGCCATTTGGTTGATGCCACACGTGCCATCACCTCTGTAGACTCGGTAATATCCTTGCTCTCCCCAACCTGTACCCCAGCTATTTTTCACAATCCAGAAGGGGATTGATCGATTGAATAAGCTATAGTGGTGGACTCCAAAACCAACAATGAGAACACCATGATCAATGCCTCCAGAGCTGCATAGGAACTTCCAAGGATGGGAAATACCTCCAAAATAAAACTGCATGGCATTTGCATTGATGCCTATAGAGATGGGGCCATTTTTCACCAGCCACTGGGCCATTTGTGTTTCATCTTGGGAGATATTCACTGCACCTCTGATGTTCACTGCTGCCTCTGACTTATTGAAATGACACTTGTCACCATGCCCTTCATAAGGGTACTCAGACTCCGTTTCCAGACCTCCAAGATTCATGATGGCTCTGTAGGCATTGGAAGGTAGGCCCCCTTGACAACCATCATCCAGGTTGTCGCAATCAACAAGTTCTTGCTCAGATAATGATATCAAAGATCCATTGTGTACTGCATATTGTCCTTCAATATTACCAGTCACGGAGAAAGCCCAACACGAACCACACATTCCTTGATTCTTCACTGGGGTCACTGCTCCATGGTCACGCCAGTCAAAGGAATCGGGGAGATCTACTTTGGGGATTTCAGCATCAGGTAGTGCTTCTCCTCTCATGTCAGTTCTCAATCCCAAAAATCTCTTGAATTCTTCATCAGTGAGGTCAGCAAATTGGGTTGGGCCATATTGAGCAGTCCCTTGCTCAAACTTGCGTAGCAATTCAATCTTCTTAAGATTTTCTTTGAAAATTCTGAAACGTGTCTCTTTCTCTTGATTTTTTCCATACTTCTTGCCATATCTACGAAGAAACTTCTTAAACTCAATCTGGGCATGAAGTTCTTGCTCATACTCCACAGTCTGAGAGCAATTGGCATGGGTCAACTTTCTGCTGTTGAGCCAGACACGTTCCCAAATGATGACATCACAAATCTGCGTGCCCTTATTCAAGTCAAGATTGCAACCATTCTGAGATTGATGTTTTGGGCAGTCAGTGTAAGCTACCTTCAGCTTTAGATGTATGTTCCTCCCAGATACCACCTGAACTTGAGAGTCAAGCACATCTATGAGCTTCAAGAGGTTCACTTCATTGCTCATCTCATTCAATGCAGTTTCAGCCCAAGCTGCGAGTTCATCCTGGACAAACCCCACTTCATGTTCATTAGGATTGTGAAATCCCCCATATATTGAATGACAATGGCACTCATATGCAAATGATCCTAATACAAAGCATATGATCCAGTAGTTGATCATATTGTGAGCCATATCTAAAGGGAAAAAAATAGATAAAAGAAGGAATAAGTTATATATTAGCAACAAAGACTAAAGTCCATTATAATTTATTCCTAAACAATACATGTTTCAGTACTTTGTACTGGAATTGAATTCTGCTATCAAATAAGAACTTCTGAAGATTTTGGGCTAATGATTTCATGACTTTTCATGAGATCACCTACTGCACAGCCATAGGCAAGCAGTTTCTTTCAGATGGAAGGCAAAGCTGCCATGACTGATTGGAGGAAAAATGACATCTAAAAGTGGGAGCAAAAGAATTCTTCAAATGATTGAGTAAAGGGAAAGACAGAGGAGGTAAACCCAATGAGGGATCCCTTGCCCTGTTTACATTCTTGTACACCACCAATTATATTGAAAATAAATTTAAATGGAAATGTAAAAAAATTACTTACTATTCACCTTTTTCAAGTGCAATTTCCCAATAATTCTATCCAATAAAAAGCACAATGCCCATGCTTTGTGCTTTCAAATGCAAGTAAAAATGATGGTTAAGGGTTGTTTTTCATTATGTCTGCCAGGTTTATGGATTATGTTGAAATCATTATTCAATTTCATCCAATCTGGATCCCTTTATGTTCATTGTCCCCTTCTGTACTAACAATGTATACCAACTCAAGGAAACTGCTTTTAATCCCCTCCCTTGGATTGATGCTATAGTATGTTTACTTACTTCTTAACACCATGGCTGTTAGCAACTCACTGATCAGCTATGCCTATGTGAATAATAAATGCCTTTTGTCACCTAAATTAGGGCCTAGTGCTACTCATTCAAGTTCCTTGACTTGCAGATAGATAGCAGAGGCTGTCGTGATCATTTCAAACTGAAACCTAAATATACAGGCAACACAACCTGTAAAGATATGGGCATACTCTCCAAAGGGTTAAACGTTAAACCAAAAAAGGCATATTTTTCTTTTGCTCAAAAAAAATTCATGCAAAAGGGTTAACTATTCAAGCTGCTGTTTAAAAATAAAAAAGGATTAAAGTGGAATATTCAGTTAAAGATAAGGTTGAAGAATGCAGAATTGGCAATAGCTTATGAGAATGATAGTGCTAAACATTTTCATAATGAACTTGAGAAGGATCCTCCAAATTACAAAACCATTGCTAAATGGTGAAGCTTCTGACAACTGGATTTGAGTAATATGAACCATCCAAGCATCAATAATGCTGAAGCTGAAAAGGCAATAGGACAGGCATTTGAAAACAGCCCAAGAAAGTCAACTCGACAAATTGAACACATCACACTCCTTGGTGCATAGGATTCTGAAGTAGAAAAATGCCCCCTTCAGGCCTAGGTTGCTCCACTATCTCCAAAAAGATGATCCAGATCATTCAATGAAGCTTTGTGAACTGGAAATACAGCAAGTTAAGGCTGACCCACCCTGATATGATTGTGTTTTGTTTTCAGATGATGCATAGTTTCATCTGAATGGGACTGATAACAAACACAACTGCTATTATTGGTCAGTTGAAACCCTGAAGTAATAGAAGAGAAAGACTTCCACAAGTGTCGTCAAGTACATCTTGAGGTATGGCTAGTTTGAAGGTGTTCAAAAACGTTTTCATCCAAAAGTTATTACAAATAAAGGATAGAGCTAGAAAAATGCACTAAAGCTCATTTTACACTTCCCCCATTTATAATTCTTGATTTATGTGAGACTAAATTCCAGGGGGTCTATTTAAACTTGTCATTCATTGTCAACTATATACACCCTGTATGTACAGGGTGTTTCTTAATTAGCACAACCAAAGAAAAATGGCATAACTTCCTATATAATAAAGCTGGGAACAGTTATTATGCTAAGTTTCTTGCCCTGGCCTCCTACTTGTGCATCCTGGGGGTCCCAGGACCCCTGGGACACACAGGCAGAAGGCCTAAGACTGCTGGATTGAATATGAAACTGTTTGGTTAAGTCAGCAAATAAACACGGATTGCTGGACTTTTACTTTTGGGGAACCCTTCAAGATTCCCTCATGCTTCACTTGGAAATTAACCCCCTTAATTATCAGGGGACCCTTCCATATCAGACCTGAGGGTCCTGGGGACCCCCTATGGCAAGAAACCTAGCACAACCCCTGTAGAAAGTTTAAAATTGGCATGACCTGTGATCCAACCACTCATCTTCATTGCAGCAGATGCTGGAATAGATCCCCTTGTTCTCTATGCACAATTGAACACAACGTTGCAAGTTTTCAAAAGTATGGTATAGCACATCAACAGAAATATAATGAATGCTGCTTTCAATGTTCTCCTTTTGCTGCAAAATGGAGATGATTTTTGTAGAAAACAGTTTCTTTCCAGTAACCCTAATATTGATGACTTGACTTTTCCATTTTTGATTAATTTGTCAATAAGTTCAAAGACATTGAACTCAACCCTGGGTTACTTCCAGAAAGACAGTGCCAGATGCCCTACCTCAGAGAGGAGCATGGAGCACTTTCAGTCATTCTTTGAAGACCTATAGCCACCAAGATCTGATTTCACACAAGTAAATAAATTTATTTTGAGGTTTTTTTTAAGGTTACTATTTACTGAAACAATACTTGCATCATTTCACCAATAAGGGAGAACATTAAAAACAGCATTTGGGACATTCCTCTTGATGTTCAACTCCAAAATTTTGCAAACTTGCAGCATTGTGCTCAATTGTGCATAGAGAACGAGGAGATACATTCTAGTATTTGCAGCAATGAAGGTGAGTCTTGCATGGTTGGATCTCAGTTCATGTCAAGCTTCAACTTGCTGGCTTTATGTAGGAAGTTATGCCATTTTTTGTGGGTTGTGCTAATAAGAAAAAAACCACCCTGTAGTTGATAAAATTATAAAAGGGAAATATTGAAAATAGCAAGAAATCACCAGTTCTTCAGCTGGAAGAACAACAATTGAAGAATGTTTGCTTTCTCACCTGAAAGCTGAGACTCTCAGCATCTTGGTGCAAAACCAAACATTCCTTGATTCAGTGCAGATAAAAAAAAAACAGGGCGAATCCTAGTTCTCTTGCAAATGGCTAATATTGCATATTTATCCTATTTTCAAGATCATTAATGCAACTTTCCAATGGGTTCACTACTGCCATGACACTATGAGGCATTATAGCAACAATTTATAAAAAATGATGAGTAAAAGCAGTCAAATGAACAATAGCTTTGACCGGAGAATTCTGATTAAAAAATTATACAAGCTGATGATAAATGATAGAACAGTGGCAATGCAAATTTAGAAATAAAACAAAAAAATCTAGATAAATAATGGAAAATGAATCTGTGACCCTATTCTACAATGACCTAGAATAAAACTTTATCCTCAAAGTCTTTTTTTTAATATTATACCTTAGAATATTCATCAATGGAGCAGTACCAGTCATGAATAGTTTGAGATATAAAGCCACACATAATCATCTGCATCTTACTAATTCAAGGCATCCAGCAGGAAAAAATATGGCCACATGGTCTCCCAGGCAGGCATGCAGAGTGGCATCTCAAAGAGAGAGCTGACCATGGTTCAAGATCTGGCATTTCTGACCACAATACTATGACAATTTTGTGCCATAGTATTTGAGAATAAGCTAACAGTCTGTCTTTTCTCACAGTTATCTTGCTCCAAAGTTGTTAGAGTGGAAACTTCTCAACCAATGTTGACAAATAAGTAATCAATGGGCTTATGTCAGCTAAAACATGCCATTTAACTATTACAGTTCCAGCTTTTCCCATGAAGAAAGAATGCACTGAACATCCATTTTTGTCTGACCTATATTCATCTATATGCATCCTATATGCATCAGTTCAACAGTTAAGGTAAAGTATCAAACACATATTTCACAGTAAATAAAAAAAGGAAAAGATTTTCTTGATTCCTGAAGCTTTATAAGCATCTGTCATGAAAAAATACACATTAAGAAATAAACTATTCAAATAATAGTGCAAATTAGAACTAGCATAATTTCTTCTGCTCTGCTTAAAATTGGATGAGATGAGAAACATTTTAATTGTTAACAATCCTGTATTAAACATACAATGTGACAATATTAAACATATTTATTCATTTCATACCTAAGACACAAGATGATCTTCAAAATAATTTCTTACATGATTAAATTATGAAATGTGCAGGCACAATCCAGCATACAGAAAAAACACCTCCTTCTAAACTCAAAGCATGAAAGGGAATGGTTGGGACAAGAGTACTAAACAAAGAAAATTTCAGATTCAACATTGATTCTTGATACTTCTTTATTTGTGTATTATACCATCTAATGTTGAAACTAGGCAAAGAAACAGGTCACTTAAGTCTCAGTTCACCCAATATTACCTTCCAAAAACATAGAGCTAATGTATTTTTGCACATCTCTCATATTGTAAGGCTTCAGGTGCCAACCACTTTATGCCCTGACCCACCAAGCCTGATTCCCATATTTATACAACCCATGAATGAACATTCATAATTAAGGTAGTTGTGCATCTCTAAAATGAATTTGTGGATAAATATGAGAATATGTGCATAAGGTAGCACAGGAATACAAACAAAGAAAAAGCTTCAACTACTCAAGACAAACTAATATAGCATTCACTGCTTCATATTGACATTACCAGTGGGAGTCCTGCAACTGTATGAAATAGAGCAAAAGTAAACTGGAGGAAGTGGAAAAAAGTTTTTCGTATATTTAGATCCTCAAGACATTGTTGAACATATATTCTTACATTCTACATGCACTCATTGGCACTGAATTTAATATAATATGGGAGGGGATGTGATCATACAACTGACAGAATAGGTTATCTTCTGTCAAGGGAGCATTGAAGACTTGAGCTATGATTTCCTCTTGGCTTAGGTACAGTGTTCTGGAATCATTGAGACTACATGAACTGATATGACAGGCAGTAGGGGTTTGCCCTTAGGAAATGAAATCCTTGGTGGCCAGATTAACTTAAATTGAGCTTTCATGAGGTAGGATAAAGATACGTTATGATATACAGGGTGCGACACAAAAAAGACCAATGACTTTTAACCTAATTATCCCTGCTTACAATGGAGCCATTTTTGCAAAACTTTCACTATGCATGAGTACATTTCAACTTGATCCTCAAAATTTAATCTGAATTAGTTGAGCTAAAGTGATACTATCAACAAAATATTGAAAAGAAAGTAGACATTAAGAATGGACAAGAGCTCCTGCTAAGTGGAGGAAACACTTGAGCACTGTCTCTCCTGTTCATCATGACTGCATCAAACTCCTCTTCCATTTGGATTCATACTTTGGGCTGATTGCCTTTTGTAAACCTTGAAGATATACCCAGAGAGAAAAGCACCCAAAAACTGGATTAGTTAGAAGTTTAGGAGAAATAAGATAGAGAACTGAGACACATGCCATTTTGGGAAAAATCAGGAACCATTCACGAATACAGTTCAAAAAGTAGGTGTAGGTACAACTCCCACTTGGCAACCAGCAGCAGCCAGATGACCACACATTAGATGCCTGTGGTATCCAATTTGTGCGACTTGTCATCATTTTTCATTTGCAATTCTGAGTATATCTTTGTGCTCAAACATTTTACAACCTTCAGCATTTGACAACAGGGCTTCCTTCACCATTGCCTGTGCAACATCACTAGTCTTCACACTCCACCAATTCCCACGATCAAGCACATTGGAAAGGCCTCGAGCAATCTTTTCAAATGGCCTTGATTCCTTCCTATCACACATCAGCATCCCAGGACGGAATATTGAGAGGCATTTGAACTTGAGTTCTTTTAGGTGCTCCTCAACCAAACCTTTTGTTCGAGGATACAAAAATGTGGACTTGCTGTTTGCACCCCAAGAGGAAACCAATAGGAAATGCTCACAACCTCCAGCTTTGGCAAGTTTGGCAGAGTTGAGAACATAATCATGGTCAACCTTAAAAAATCCATCAGCACCTGCTTTCCCACGAGTTGTACCAAGACAGCAAAAGCCAAGATTGAAAGACTTGAAGTCATTTTCATATTCATCCAGTTTTTCAAAATCAACAACACATTGCTCCAGCAATTTCAAATCTGGATCATCATACTCCACCATCCTTCTACCAATGAGGACAGTCTGCACTTTTTCAGAATGTTGTATCAACAGCTTTACCAGTTCTCTTCCAACTTCACCTGTTCCACCAATGACAAATGCTCGCAACTTTTCCCCCATTTTCACCTGTACCCTTGCAAACAAATTGGCTTACTCCTGAACCTATTATCAGCATGAAAAACAATGAAATACCTCAACATATATTTATAACATGGAAATATTAGCAAGACAAAATATTTTAAAGAAATATTCAAAACCTGTACCTACAACTATAGACACTTACCAAAACAGTGATTTCATTATGAAATTGCTGATGGTTATCATGTAAATGATATTACATACAGGCCTATATGAAGATAAAAATAGATTACAATAGGACCTTTAGTGAACTGTATATGAATACAGACTCTACGATTTTTAGAAGTCTATTTTTTTTTACAATTGAGAGAACATGGTCTATAGCGCAAAAAGTTTATATAAGTGAATATTTGTCATGTTCCCAATTTACTTCATCATGACTGGAGCCTGAGCAGGTTGTGATCTAGTTGTTCAAGGCCACTCATGCATAAGTTGGGTATTTGCACATATGGAGGGGGAGAGATATACTAACCTTCCCTATGGACACACCCCATGCTCACTGTGTACAGTGTAGTCTCCTTTCATCACCAAGGAGGGATATATTCCTGTGTATGGCATACAGACTTTCATTTTATTCCCACATGAAGAAGTATGGCATCTGGGGCCTGTATATATGCAGGGAAATCAAATCTGAATTCTAGTAAAAGGGGCCAATATTTAAGATGGATCTAAGGTTCCCATTCACCAAGGATGTGCTAACACTCAGTAATTTTTATCATAGCAATTGTTACTTGCTCTGAGTTTAGGTATGGTGAACTGAGTGCATTGAACTCGTACTAAAAATGATTTCTACTTATTTAGGCTTGGCAGACAGCAGTTCATGTCAGCTCAATAATTCCATGTCTAATAAGGTCAGACAGGGCAAGGTATAGCCAACGCTGCAAGTCGTCCCAGGTGACTCGAACAGTCATGCATGGAAAGCGTTATAGACAGGTACTGGTGTGATCAGATGTAGCTAAAGTATCAGACACAAAAGAAGAAAGAAAAACATGCTCAAGGGCATTGCACATACGCAAGTGCCCATATGTGAAAGTCAAAAAGACCCCCCCATCGACTGACAAAAGCCTAGGCTTACTGAATTGGCTTACTAGAACTGATGCATGGATAAGAAGGATCGAAGGAAACAATGAACCACAAACAACTAAGACAGGAAAAAGGGTTGGTGTTTTTGGTGCACATCATACTACGGAGTTCCATTTTCCGACTTCTGGCGATACAAGATCGGGTTCAGTTCCGCAAACGCCAACCTTTTCGGAATTAATCCGCTTGATGATGTGAGTCCTTTCATCCTAATTACATGAAGCGAAACCTATATCATGCTGCACGAGTTAATCGTGCATATGACAAAATAAACGCCACGACGATATTTGAATAGGCTAGGGTACCAAGGTCCAAACCCAGTGTCACTCAATGTCCATGGCAGGTCCACGGTGCACCGGTGAGGCCTCTACTCAAGACATGGCGGCTGCGGGACCGCAGGTTAGCCGCGCTTTCTGCTGGCGCGGTGGAAGTTGAAACTCTGGCTTCATGAAGCCTGTTCATTGTATCCAGAAATATACGAACTATCTTATTACGTAATGAATCTGGACATATACGTAGTCATTCCAAACTAACAGGAAGCCTAACGTTACGCCAGACCTTGGTGAGGAATGGGGTAGATTTGTCTGTCGATTCTGCTTACACTCGCCTGAATGCGGATGGTTGGCTCACTGTTCTTAGAGTCATCTGGTCTGGAGACAGCGATCCACAGGAGTCAGGAGAGTTAGTGATATCAAGAGGCGATTTCGCCCATTTCGATATCACGTGTCGAGGTCGAGCGTTCCTTAATTTTAGGGTAGGCCTAACCCTCTTAAAGCTATATATTTTTGTATTTTTGTTTTGTTTTTTTTTTTTTTTTGTTTTTGGTGAAAGAGGTCA